GTTTATTTAAATTTCATAAATTTTTAGTCGTTAGTTATTTAAATATCGGTTTTAAATTATTTGCATCGTAAACAGTCAAAAAAACGCATCATGTAAAATTGCATCGATCATTACTACGTATTTCAATTTAATGATTATTACGTAACTAAATAAAGAATTATATTTACATGTTTTGCAACATATGTAATGTTATTGAATTTACAATTTTATTTTTGTGTGATGCAAAACATTTGACGGCCACTGTAGTAATACATGTATTTGTATTTAAAAAATCGCATAATTTACTCTTTCGCATCGCATAATGAACAAAGGTTTGACCCTGACTTGTCGGGTTAGATTAAATTTAGAACTCGTGTTATTAAAATGATAAACCCGACTCGATTTACAACTCGGGTCGGGTTAAATAACCCGGGGTTGGTTCGACCAGCTCGGAGCACTAGATCGTAGTTATAAATATTGATAACGATATGTTGATGACGATAAATCTGGTATTGCAGGTATGAAAAAACTCGTTGTCATCCTAACTTTGTACGTAATTAGTGTGCGTTTGCGTACGATTCTTTTGGATGGCCGTTCTTCCGTTTATTAGCAAGTCTGTGAAAATCCACTTTCTTAAATTGCTTCTTAACGTTAATAATTCATTTTTTAAATTACTATCATATTACGTATAATAAAATAACTATCACTTACAAAAAATATCAATCTTTGTAATAAATACTTTTAAGTGTACTTTCATCCCAAAATTTAAATACTTTATTTAAATCACTATTTTCGAGACCAAGTAGCATTTTGATTTGTTCACCTTTACGTAAACTGATTATCAACGTTGCTTCCCACGCTTTTTTTCAATTCTCTTTTTTTCAAGCGACTACATATAATGCAAGCGTCTATTAATAAGCGGAAAGCGGACACCGTCGTACCAGTCGCAAATTCGGCAAAGTTATCACGACAGGCACGTGCACGTAAAAATAAAAATCAGAGACATGATCAAGAACAAATTGCAACCCAACACGAACCGAAGGTTGATACAAGCTCTCCTATGAAATCCACGGAAGTCACTTCGATAATAAATACTGCTGATATAATTTTTGACCCGACCGAGTAAATATTGTCGTTAATTTTATAATATAGACTTCTTTGCGCTAGATTATTTTTGTGTTGATAAGACGGTTGCCTTAGTTATTTGTATGGGTTTGTGGAACAGAACGGAGCCATGATAATCCTGTGTTCTGGCGAAGGTAATTCGTTTGTTCCGCAAAAAATATAATTTAGTTGCTGAGCAAGTCGTTTAGAGATAAGTCTTTGATTCAGATTTAATATTTTATTTATAATTAAGCACCGAACCCAGCATGCTACTCGTGGCCTATGTACTCGTGATAAGGTTGATTATTTGGAGAAAGAATGGACAAGCATTCCTCTTTCCCCTACGGATCGTAATTCATCTAAAGAAACTAAGACTCGACAAGAAATTTCAACAAAAGATCTACTAGTTGAGACATTAATCCGTGAAGCGAAATCGGCTAGTAATAATCCTCTCGAGTTACCTGAAGTCCCTCCTGATTTTCTAATATTACTTGATACAGATATCATTAATGGGTTGGGTTGTAATGGCTCGCGGAGCAAGGGTGTTAATGTGTCTGAATCGTCCATCGATAATGTGAATAAAAAATTGTGGATTGCTTTTGGACGGTGGTTGGGTTTGGAGGAACCAATTAAAAGACGAAATGTACGACGGCACCTCAAAAATTTGTGGAGAAAACTTAGACATGCTTTCGACCTTCAAGAAATTAAGGATTTATATAGCGTTTCTGATATTGCTACCGCACGTAATACCCGAAGAGAAAAAATCCAACTTATTATATCGGCACGTCACAATTTTTACTCGTTGGATGGATTTTCGTTATATAGTAAAACCAGAGTGCATTGTAGACCGGAATAATCGAACCTTAATCCATTTGGAGTATCTCGATGATCATACCGCTATAACACGAGCAACTAATCCAGTGAACGAGTATTACTTTCACACTTTAGACCATCCCTCGCATCGAAGCGATGAATTCTGGGCAAATTTCATCGAACATTTCGGCGCATATACATTATATAACCCCTCCCCTATACTAGCTCTAACACCGCCAGTGCCCATAACACCGAACACCAAAAATGCGTAGATAATTTGCTTCGTGAGCTGTACCATTATCAAATTGCGTTAACCGATTTGTCAAGGACTATTATAAGAGTTTGTACGAGAAGCTTAATGAATTAAAGTGGGGACCGTTTGCACCTCGACCTTTCGGTATATTTCCAATGATCGCGATCAACTTTAATACGATTAGCGATTACCACTGGGACGAGCACGATGAGCCGAATTCTCTTTGCTGTTTAGTCGCCTTGGGTGATTTTGAGGGAGGAGAACTATGCTTCCCTCAACTCCAGATTATTGTACCACTTCGTCCAGGACAGGTCGTGGTATTCTCCTCGCGTCTCTTATTACACGGCAACCTTCCCATCATGAGAGGAATTCGTCATAGCGTCGTGTATTTCGTACATGCTTCGTTTTTTCATAATTTACGGGATTTTTCACAGGTTTACACTGATCTCGAGAATGATGCTTGTGGGTTAATTGTTTCAACGATCCCCCAGCAAGATCTCAATGATGCACGAGATCTGAATAGCCGGATCAGACTCGATAAGCCGAAAGCGAATCAAACTCAAATCCCACCCACATCCACTGATCGTAGACGAGGGTATATAGGTAAGTAATACTGTGCATAGCAAAGCTTTGGCATAAGCCGACATTTATGAGACGAAAAAGATCAGTTATTAACAATGATGCTTTCTCTAGATTTGACGCGTGCTCGACGAGGATTGAAGGCCGAGGATCCAATACCCGACGAATCATAATGCAATGGTGAACCGGACGCGAAAAAAAATGACGGGTATAAAGTGCCAAAAAATAGATTGAGGGATATATGTGGGTTTTATCAGGTATAACGGGTTACATCCCAAAATTTTTGTATATAAATTTATTTCTTCGGCACTATATGTCGGCTCACGTCGAAATTTATTTGTATTTTCAGTCTACTCTCACAACAGTGAAAAGTGTAAAAATAAAACAGAGCTTTAACAAGGGAGGGTTCAATCAGCTCCTGGACCTGCCTCAAAAGGCGATGACTGTCCCTATACTTCAAGCTCCACTCTGTCGAACCTTCTATATTTCTCACCCGCTAAATATCCCAATGTATCCTTTAATTTACTTTATCCGGATCATAGAAAATCTTTGCTCTTTTGTAGTCCTAGTTATTTAGTTATCGTTACTAGTATCTTGAGTAAAGGTGCTTTCTTCATTTACCGTCACGTTAACACGTTTCCCCGAGCTCCGTCTTTGTCGCGTAGGTTCCTCTTAGAGATCTTCGTGGTGGCTGTTGAGAGAAGAGATAAGTGACTTTATTTTTTATGGTGACGTGATGAATTTTTTTCACTTATCACTAGACGTATTCATTGTGGTTAACAATCTGTAAAATAGTCTTGATATATTATTAATAGGTGGAGAGGTACAAATACAATACTATTTGACGAGCTGTTAAGTCCTAGAGCCAATGTCCTACTTAAAAAGAATAGAATACGCTTTTGCGATAAAAAAAAAGCGTGTAAAGCAGAATGAATGGTAATTGATATGGGGTTATATATATGACAACGATCACCATTAGAAAAACCGTCTTTAAAATTGCCTTTCAAATCAGTTATATTAAATGAAACACTAAAAAATAAAAAAATCATTATCTTTTTTTGTTAGAAGATATATCAAATTGACTTAACTTTACCTGTTGATATTTTCTCAATAATGGGATATTTGTATCTCGCCATTTTTTTTGGTGTTCTGTTTCTTTTGTGAGTCACTACCTACGAATCTGAACCCATTCAAATTCTCTTCTAAAAATCCCTTCCCTTTACCATTATACTAAATGATATCGATATAGGAATTAGAAATCACTTAGTCTATTCACTCTCCCAACTCATAAAATCATTATTTGTATACAAAAACAACAGAATGAAAAATATTGTTAATTTTTATTTATTCATATCAATATCATAATAATTGTTCGACTTAATCAGTTGTATTTTGAAATCAAATTAAAGAAATTATTCTTTTTGAAATCAAAATAACATTCATATATAAAAAGCTAAATAGTTAGATAAAAATAAAATAATATGTACGCGAAATTATTTGTAAATAGAAAATAAATTGAATTATTATAAATGTACGGAAATATAAGAAATAAACTGAATTATTGTAAAATGTACGAATTATATAAATGAGTATGAATGATAAAACATTAAAGTAATTATAGCAAGAAATTAATTGAATGATTAAATCAATAATTGAAATATTATCTTAATTATATAATTGATTAATCAAATATTTCCATTGCTTGGAACACTCGGCAGCATTATGAGTTTGAATGCGTGTTGCAATATCAATCCATGAAGGCTCAGCCAAATCTTCAAGAACACTATTTACTAATATAATATTTTCATCTGTTGTCCATTTTTCCAGAGTTGAATTATTGTTACTGATTTCATCCTTATCGTTATTGTTATAAGTATCAATATCTTGACCAATAGAAATTATTTCTGTTGTTTTCGGAACTTCTACTAAGGAATTATCCAATGAAAAAGATGATGAACCCATTTCTACTATTTCTGGAATTGAGGAACTATCACGTGGTGAAGTTGATGAACTATCACGTGGTGAAGTTGATGAACTATCACGTGGTGAAGTTGATGAAATCATTTCAATTGTTTCCGTAATTGTTACTAAGGAATTATCATGTGATAAAGATGACGAAGTGCTGTAATTAGAAGACTGCAGATTATCAGATTTTCTACGCTTATGAGATCGTGAAGAACTAATTTTATAATTTGGTTGATTTATCATTGGACGAAAATAATCATCATTTTCAGATGATGAGACATTGATATTATTATTATTACTTTGATAATTTCGTTTTTTTATTCTTGAATTATAAATAGAAACTTTGGATAAGGATATATTATCATTGGTTTGATGATTATTTTGCGAAGAATTTGATGATGAAGCTAAAGGTAATTCTTAAAATGGTAAAGATTAATAATATAAAAGTTAAATTTATTAATACAATCTCTATTATATTTAAAAGTATTTGAAAATTATTGTTACCAATAAATTCATTATTCAAGACTTGTTCAAGATAATCATTAATAGAATTGGATGGTGATGATTGTTGATATTGTGAAGATTGTTGTTCATTATTACTTTCTTTCGTAATTTTCTTGATCTGCTCATTGAATCCTTTAATAGATTGTTTAACAAATTCATATGCTTCAATATTACCCCATACTTTTTTTAATAATTCCTATAATAATACAAAATTAATTAATTAGTATATATTTTTAGTAATATAATTATTAATATCAAGAAAATATTCAGAAAATTAAAAAAACTTTGAATTTGATCATGATTCAGTAACTCTGTTCAATCACCAGTATCTGGCCTTTACCGAGGTAAGTGTGAACTTATTTTTCAAGTATGGGTTATTAAAACGCGTTGTCGTTCACCAACCAGTATCTGATTTTTTTACTGAGTAACCAACCATTCAATAATCAAATTCAAAAATATATATATTTCATCATTTAAATATTAATGTTAATAATAAAAATAAAAATATTACTTAACTCCAAATTTCTTTGCATTCTTTGCATCTTTTTCATTTTGACATACTTTACTAATAGTCGAATTTAAATTTTGTTTACTTTTATCTGGTTCGATAGTTTTTAGATAATAAGCAAATCGAACAAGGACAGCTAATCCTTCATATTCCTCTAAAAATTTAGAAAATATTTTTTCTAACATATTAAAGAAGAAAACGCGTGTGAATACTGGACTGACTGGATAAATATATATAGCAATTGATCATTAATTTTAGCCAATGAAAATTTGCCATGTGTTATTATCAGATTGAAAAATTTGCCATGTGTTGTGAGAAATCAATTCAGATTGGATTTATCAATCTGTTTCGAATCGGATTGTGGTTTTATTCACGTAATTTATGATACATGTTCGTTTATTACAAAAAGAACATATAATCGCCACGCAATTGAGTTCTGTTTTGTTGCTGATGGAAGCAACGTCTTCTTGGTAAAGAAGTGAACAAACAAAAAATTATTATCAACTGCCAGAGGATGCCGAACGAAGTAAATCCCGTATGTTAAAGTCACGGATAAAAATGATGCGTTGAGACCAGTTCACGAAGTCTCTATGCCAGCCAATAATTACCATTGGGATACTAGGAACTCGATCGTCACCAGAAACCCATGGTTAGCTGAAGACAATAAGAGACAGACAAACGGAAATAATAGTCTACAACCAGGACAAGTCATCAGGAAAAGTTGTTCACCACCCAAAATATTTAACAAACGAACTGGAAAATGATAATCAAAGGAACCCAACCGAAAATGTTTGTAGTTAATTCCATAAAATAAATAATCGAACTGAAGAAAAGAATCAGTGTACCGTCTGGCCAAAGGAATTGGTCAAAAGATAACCAACTGACCAACCTCAATACCGAAATGATATTGATTGACTTTCAGGAAATGGGAGGGGGCACAAATAAATGTTTAGAAGGGTATCCTCCAGTCTGGGATCGGACTAAATTAATCACAACTAAAGTTTCTCCATCCAAGTTAACCTGAAACTCACTATGGATGGTTCTGACAAGAATAACAGTTCCAAACGGAAGGAACAGCAGGAAAGAATCCAAAATAAGGGTGAGAGAATTTTGGACTGAATTTGACGAATACGTGAAATTATGGCTTGACGATTACTTCCACCGAAGTTCCCAACGACGAATGATTCCGGAATCACAACTCGTTAACCATTTTCCGTCACCAACAACTGAACAAAGCATATTATGATCAAAGAGAGGAAAGAACTCCCGGTAACGACTACTAAAAACTCAGCGACATCAACGATACCCGGATAATTTTAAAAATTTAAGACACTGAACTGATAGGAAAAGACTTGTGGACGGTTGAATCCAAGTACGGCAGAAACTTTTACCGTCCCGTCCAAGAAAACCAAACAAGAAGAACGTTTACATAGAGAAAATGAGTCCCCAGCAGCAATTGCCAAGGATTCATTTTCAATATGGGAACCTGGAGGAGTTCCAGCAACGATTGCCAAAGACTCGACCCAGTTTAACGTTGACAATTGTCTATCCTACTCCTCTCGACCAAATCAACAATCCTTCGACTTGATAATAAACCATCCCGCGATCATTCACCTCCTTAATTCACCAAATCTAAACGGACACCTTGCTCGATGAATAATGGACACCCAAGGCCACAATTTCAACCCCATACGCAAAAGCCAGACATTACATATTAAAAGACGAACAGCTTTTCAGACGCAATAGGAAGGATCCCAACAGATGCCCTGAATACTCAAGACCGATGAAGTAGACAAGGTTCTTTTCCACTTACATTCGGTGGTACTAAGATATTTCAGATTCAATGCTACAACTTACAACTGAACAAATACGGCTATGTGCTCCAACTGAAAATAGCTACGGGAAGAAAAAGCTATTATCATCCTGTCCAGGAAAAGTCACTGATGCCACCCCCGTACACCCACCAACAACACAACCGTTTAAACCAAATCACCCAGTTTGTGGATACCCCAAGGCAATGTTGTACATTTTGGATGTACAAGCACTTTTCAACTGTCCAAATGTCCAAGTGTCCAAACTCTTGTACTATTAAAAAAATTAAATAAAAAATATACAACGAGAAATCCCAAACATTTTTAGTGTCCAAGCAGGTTATTTTAAAATTTTGAGTAAATTTGATTTTTTTGTCAAAAATGTCCAAGATTGTCCAAAGGCATGTCCAAAGCTGTCCCGTGACAACACTGCCCCAAGGTTAAAGAAAAGACAACAATAATGGTGACCAAAACATATTCCCGACGCAAAAGACCGTTAACTACTACCCAACTAACGTAATATCATCCAAAGAACTTTAGTCAAACTTCAACAAGAAAATTCGAAGAATTACGAACGAAAAGCCAGAACCAGTGGAAAACAAGTTGGAAAACATACTGAAAACGGCAACGTCGTAAATAATGATGGATGAATGACAATGGCTGAACAACAACTAATTCCAGAATTGCGACATTCCAAGGACAAAAAGAATCACCGGCAGCAATTGCCAAAGACTCGGTCCAACTTCTAATAACACTTGGCAATATTAACAGAGTACACCAATTACTGTCTCTGAGTACTTCACGAAAATCCACCAGAAACGTCCCAAATACCTTATTGCTCACCAATCACTACTCCGTCAACATTATACAGTTTGCCAAACTTCCCAACGACAACCAACTCCGGAATCATAACGTCCCAAAGACAAAGAAAAAGGAAGAGGAGTCCCCAGCAGCAATTGCCAAAAACTCAACTCAATCCGGAATCATAACATTCCAAAGACAAAGACAAAAAAAAAGGAAGAGGAGTTCCCAGCAGCAATTGCCAAAAACTCAACTCAATCCGGAATCATAACGTTCCAAAGAAAAAGGAAGAGGAGTCCCCCAGCAGCAATTGCCAAAAACTCAATAACGTTCCAAAGACAAAGACAAAAAAAAGGAAGAGGAGTTGCCAGCAGCAATTGCCAAAAACTCAACTCAATCCGGAATCATAACCTTCCAAAGACAAAGACAAAGAAAAAGGAAGAGGAGTCCCCAGCAGCAATTGCCAAAAACTCAACTCAACCCGTCCAAGAAAGGAACAACAAAAAGAGTAACCGAACTCAATTCCCATCCTCCGAAATAAGTTTTATATAATGAAAAAGTAAAATGGAAGTTTTTCAGGAAATACGTACTATGATAAATACAATGACATATTATGCAGATCATGTAATTCCGAGCATCCTTAAAATTATGCATCAATCAAATCGCAAGATCAATGTGCAACGCAAGAGTTTAAATATATAAATACAAAATTTTGCTAACCGAAATTCTACATATTTAATATTATCATATTTAAGGGGGATCTGAATCACATGATCTGTCCTTGAAAAACAGCCAATAAGAATGCATAAATTTTTGATCAACCCGGCAAAACAAACCGACACAAAAAATGAAAAATGCGAGAAATGTGAAAAATACAAGAAACAAATGTCTAAATCTGGTCCGGAGTACTAATGAAAAATGTCGAAAAGACAATTTTATATAACCTAGATCACCAACCCTAACCCTAACCCTAATCTTAAACCATCCTTTAACCTTAATCTTTATTACAGTAGAAATTTCCGAAAATACGCAATGCTATTGGTTATTTTTGTTATTACCAAATCGGGTGGGGGTGTACATAGATGCATCCGTGGTCCAACATAGAGATTAGAACCGGTTTTATTTTTACTAACCGGTTTTAGAAACCACTTGACAATCGCAACCGAATATAATTCGATTATATTAAACCGATTAATCGGTTATATTAACAAATTTGTAATTATTAAATATTTAAAGTTTTATACCAGCTTCGATTAGCAACTCAACCCGATTTCTCATGCTATGGATGAGATTCGCGGCAAGAACATCAGGTAAGCAATTCCATTCTTTCGCTAATTGCATCTTTAATCCCATAAGAGTTCTAAATATATTAATTTTCATCAATCTCCAATCGGATTTTGGTCGGGTGACATTGACGGCCATGGAAGAACTTCGACGTTGTTTTCCTCCTTTCAACAATTCACTAATTTCGAACGGTGTTTCGGATTGTTATCCTCCTGCAAGATCCATCCTACAGAATCGTTACTAAAAAGATACTTAATAGATGGGAGAAGACCCCGTTTGTATACTGCAATCATAAAATCAGTGTTAAGATTCTGCTGGAAGCAGACCAACTCACCGAAGCCCGAAGCAGAAAAATAACCCCATATATTGATCTTTAATGGAGGCTTCACAGACCGGAATAGTTTCCTTCGTCCAGGAAACTGCCAGACCTTAAATAATGATTGAATTAGACGAAATGTACTTTCGTCTGAAAATATAACCTTACTCCAGTCGAAATCCCATTGTAACCGTTTTTTTTATGGACATCGGTAAGTAGAGGTTTGGAAAGTTTAGCCATGTGTTTGCCCTCAACTTCGCGTGAACGTCGTTGAATAGTGTCCACATTGACATTAACATTTCGTTTTTTCATTTCCCGTTGTACATCAGTGGCGGTGATTCGATTTCTGCCAGATTTTAGTTGGTCACTAGGTTCTTTGTTTCCTGCCATATCTTTGAACCCAGTAAATCGCTGTGGACTTACTACAGCGAGCGACATTATTTGTGTGAAGTTTGGTGAACATGGAATGCCCGATATTGATTTTTATAACGTGAATTTCTTTATTAATTGATTAACTGGTAATAATTGGTGTATAATAGAGTTGTTTTTGTATTGAAAAAGTGTTATGTGATCAGAATAGTAAATATTTATTTTGGTTTTTCTTGTTCAAATTTCAGATAATGTTTCTATTAATTCAAAGATTATTAAAATTAATAAATTAACAAAGTAACATAACAATGAAAAAACAAAGACTGAATGAATTACAATTAATAAAATTTACTGAAGATTCTAAAAATTTCCTGTGATAGTTTGTTACAAACTAACTAACTATCAACAATAAAGAATAAAAAAATTATGATATCTAATAAAATAAAATAACAATTGAACTTATTGAGATTACAAATTATGAAATATAAACTAAAATAACTAAAAATAACCAAACAGAACTTATTAATATGATCTAAAAATAATAAACAAAAGTAATAATATCTATAACTTATTTAGAATGGAAAAGCATCCACTACTTATAATTTCAAGATTTGAAGATAATTTATAAAAATAATAGTATATTTACTAAGAATGATTGCTGAAATGACACCATCTAATTAAATAATTTGCTGAAATTAATTTGCCAAAATTAAATCTGAAATTATTTTATTAGTAGCCAAAATTGTTTTCTGAAATTATTTGAATTTTACAAACCAAAACAAGCATTTCTAGATGGTTTTTAAGTATTCATTAATATAAGTAATATAGCAAAACTGAATTATTTGCTGAAATACCATTTTATTCAAAAATAATTTAGAAGATCATCTTTAGTATTTACAAGTAAATTATTACTAGTAAAAACTTTGTTATTTTATTAATAAAAAAATTAGAGTATGAGAGTTTCTAGCAACAAAAGACTCTTTTTTATATATTTTCAATCTTTTACATGATTTATATAACTAATAATTATTTTATACTATATCATAATTTATAAATAATATTAATAATACAAAAGAAATATAAACATCAAAAAATAAATATGAAATTACACAAATTTATTAACAAGAAAATACAAAAGAAAATTAGTTGCAATTTTAGTAATTAAAGATAAGAAAAAACAAGAGTTTAAGTAAAAAGAAGTGTTGTAAAGAAAAAAATAATAATATAAATATGATTATGAATAATTATAACAAAAAATTTAAGAGATAAAAAGAATAATTGTAACAAAAGTAAAAAATAAAATAAAATAAATATAAGAATAATTGATTAAAAATAATAAAATTAAAGATAAAAATAAGTATAATAAGAATTTAGATAGATAAACCAATAACAAAAATATAAATTTTAGAGTGAAAAATACAAAATTAAATAAATTTAGTAAAATAGTAAAAGAAAATAAAACAAAAAGTATACAAAAATGTGATTATTATTAAATATTAAAAGAGTAATAACATATATTAAATATAATTATATAATAAAATATAATATAAAAATAAAGAGACAAATTAATCTGATTATTATTAAATTACATTATATTATATTATATTAATTTACTTTGTAATACATTTTAATTTTTGTTGATCAAAAATTAAGTAATTATGAAATTTTTAATAAAAATAGTTGTTATTTTTCAATAAAAATTTTATTAATGACTTTGAGCTATAATAATTCAGTCAGTTTATGTTCAATTTTGAGAAAATATATATTATTGAATTTGCAAGATCAAAAGGAGTTCAATAATATAATTTTTATTAAATTTCAATCACTGAGTGAGAAAATATCATCATTCAAAGATGATCATAAAAATTTCAAAGTCCATTTTTATTTTTTTGTCCAACTTTGAACTTTAATATCTTTGTAAAGGATTTTATATTTTCAGATTTTTTAAGTTATAGAAAGTCTAATAATATAAAAATTATTGAATTCTAATTACTAATTGATGAAATATTATTGTTTTTCATTTGTGTATAAAATTTTCATTTTGATATTTTTGGACAAAATGTTTTTGTGGGCTGACTTATCTTTATTAGTTTTAATTCTATAATAGAAAATTTTATATTTTTGGGTTTCTTAAATTTTGGTGAATTCAATGATATAAAAACTATCAAATTTTTATTTACTAATTGATAAAATATTATTATTTTCTATTTGTATTTGAGAATTTTTATTTTGGCATTTTTCTTTTTTAAGAAAATTTGATTCATTTTTAACTTTAAATATCTTGACAAGTATTTGTTCTATAACAGGAAAAATTATATTTTTGGATTTCTTAGATTATAAAAAATTTAATGATATCAAAATTTTCAAATATTAATTTATAAATTTGAGAAATATTAGTATTTTTAGTTTGTTAACAAGAATTTTTTTTGTTGTTATTAGTCTGGAATTTGCAAAAAATCTGTAATGCAATTTTAATAAAACTTTTTTATTTTTCTAGAAAATAATTATATTGTTATTTCTTGATTGTTTTTTTTTATCTTCTTTATAATTTACAGTACTTAGAGATCTATCTCTTTTTAAATAAATTCTCTTGTTGTGAGTACTAACTATTACAAATAAGATTTTTGTTAAAGAAATACATGTTTATTATAATAAGATTTCAAATTTTAATTATAATATGGATGAATAATACTATTAATTAATATATATAATTATTAAATATTATACTAAAAGATATTGTGAATCTTTTTAGTATAAATTATATTCTAAATATACTTTATATTCTTAGTAATATAAAAGCTATAAATCAAAATAATATAAATATATATATAATATTATTAAAATAATATTAGTACATATAAAATAATTTTGTTATATTTAATAAATACAAAATATAATAGTATTATTTAAGTATAGTATTATTCAAGTATTTTATTTAAGTTATTAATTGAATTAATTACTATAATTTTATTATGTTAAATCTAATTGATTATAACTTAATTTTTTATAGTTATAATACTAGTTATATTTATATATTTTTTAATACAAAATTATTGAATAGTTAATTATAGTTAATTATAATTAAGTACAGTTAATAATAATTAAATATAAATAATAATAGATAATAATAGATAATAATAATAAAAGCTAGTTAATTATAATAAATTCTGATCAATTATATTAAATTTAGTTAAATTATAAGAAATTATAAAAATGCAAGAATACTTTCTTATGTAAATAATGTTAAGATAAATTTATTAATTGTTATAAATAAATTATATTAATTGAGATAGTTTTTAGTT